ACTTTACTTCAGTCCCAACAAACATTTGCTGATCCTAACCTTTCCTACACTGCTGCGCAAGCAGGAACACCTGTATTTTTAATGCTTCCAAAAAGGTAATTACTTCTCTCCAAATAAGCTAGTTAATGCGATCAGCATGTTCCACTTGTTGCTGAAAATTGAATGTAGAGGTTTAAATGGAATCCAGCATTGTGAAACATGAAGTGGCAATACCTTTCTGAAGTAGACACTCACATAAGCCATTGCCAGGAATCTGCACTCATTTAATATGGAATTTACAAGGCTCCCAGGTACGTCAAGCGTGACTATTTCCCAAGTACTGAAAAACCAGATGGCAAGCAACTCCTGGCTTTGTCAGCACTACAGAAAGTGCTTCCCCAAGTACTGGCTGCACGTGATCTCACCAGGGCATCTACAAACACCGCTCCGCATCCTTCCTTGCACTTCCCATTGAGCCCGTGCACATTTGGCAGGTTGTTAAATAAGGACTAGAAATGCCCAAGCACTCGGCAAAACAAATTTCAGTAGCAGCTGCACATGCAGGGTGTTTTGCTGGTGACAGCCAAAAGCAGAAAGTCACTGTTGTCTGGTGCCCAGCGCAGGCATGATGCAGGCACTCTGGAGCTCTGGGCCTTGTAACCGACTGGCTCCAATACATGGGCCAAATCATTTCACCTTTCCCCACCGCCGTCCAACTGAACTGTTTGCTCTTGGGGCAAAGACTGCCTCTGATTATCTCTTTAAATGCTTAACCGAAGCCTCTCCAAGTGACACTGCATTATAAATACTAAGAATCCCCTACTGAACGGATGAAGCTGTCTGCATCAGTGCAGTGTTGACATGGTGCTGTTTTATAACAGCTAAGTTGACCCAACATTTCCATGCTGTAAGACCGTTTTTATAAAACCAAACCTTAGCAGAAAGGTTTCTGCACTTAAAAAACCTAACGAAAACAGCTGCTTTAAAACCAATAATTGTCACTTTGTGTTGTTTGATATCTCAAGGACTGCAGAGAGTGACAAGAAAGGGAAAAACTGATCATAAGCAAAAGTAAACCTGACTTTGTTGCTTTCCAGCATCTGTACCTGCAGGAAAAAAGATGAAAAAATAGTGGCAAGTTGGAATCTGAAAATGGTTGTACTTGTGATGATTTAAGAAAGGCATTTATCTCTAATTTGTACTGCTGAAAAATCTGTCCCCCTTGCTACAGGTACCACAGGAAATCAACACAGTTGTTTGTAACACATGATTTGTATTTGATAATACTGTAGTAAGGTTTAATCCTGGCAAAACTCCCACTGGCTCAATGGGGCCAAGACTTCCCTCAGTGGATATAACAAAGAGGTGGAAGGAGCAGAGTGACTTTCTTTTTTTTTTTTTTTGTGCTTAGAGTGAGTCTTCAACAGTGCAATAGAAATGCATCTCTCACAACCAGGGGCAATAAGAGCCCACAAAAGAGGTCAGCCACAAATATTTTAAAGCTCCCCTTCTTTGATTTGACTTTGCAGGTAAAAACACGGCTTATTTTGCTCAAGCAGAAGAGCTGCTGCTTTGCTGCAGCATTTTGCCTTCAGGTAGTTTTCAAAAAGCTGCGGATCTTTGCAGAAGGATAAATTCTCTCGTGTGGACCAACAACAAGCAAAAAAAGGCAGAGAGGGCAAAACTATGTGCTGAATTAATCTCACCAGCCCTGGTGGGTAACACAGGGTCAAATGGAAGTGATGATTGATTCTGGCTACAACCAGATGAGGATGGGAGGAGAAGGAAGATTTTTCTGAACAAGGAGAGAAAAACAAGTGAGCTAAATTTTTGCTTTCTCACACTAGTGCAGCCCCTTGGACATTGGTATCCGTGATATTCACCATCAGAGTCACAACAGGGCCGAGTCCACTCTTCAGTGCTAGGTACAACATGCTCGAAGTGGAAAGGATGAGGAATCTGGTGAAGCTTCCACTGAAAAGATTCCCCATGGGCTTTAGGTGGAAGCCGGGTTGGTCCCCACTGGCACATGCAGACACTGAAATGGAACGTGTCAAAGGGGGCAGGGAGCTCATCAGCAGCATCTTTTCAGTCTAATTTAATCAGACACACTGCAGCAGATTTCCACCCAGAAGTTATTGGGACCCTCTGGACATGAAGCTGCAAATCGCTGCTCTATTCTGGGAAGCAGATTCTCACAGCCTGCCTGCGTCACCCACGACACAGAGTTAACACAGCTCATTTTTAACAGCCCTTCAAACAGAATGGCAAAGTCACTGTCTGCCGGCAGAGAGGTGCTCACAGTAAACAGATGCAGCGGTCCCACGGCAAGGCTCTGGTGGTGATCCTGCGCATCAGATGTGTTCATGTGACAGCTCCAGAGATGATGTTTCTAACTGCCCATATCACACGGCCCAGCCACTGGGTTTTCTATGCCTCTCATGTTAGCACCAGCAACACACGTGCACATCCACTGGTGAAGCATGGGACAGACTAAAATCCAAGTCACTATTCCACAGCAAAGCTGGTACTTAGGGATGAGTGGGAGGACTACAACATCACTGCTTGCCATAGTTGGGGCCCCAATGTGCTCTCTGATTTTGGACAGACCTGTGCCTCCCTTCCTCCTCCTTTCCTTCCCCACATTTTCCATATGGCTCTATCACACACTTCTGTCTCTTATCTACTTGCTCACAGGTTCCCCTATGGCCACCATCTTTCTTCTCTAGCAATTTTTCCCTATAAACTTGCCCACGCACTCATCTTATTGTCTCCAGTTACCCACACTCCTCATCACCCCACACTCCCTTCTGATAAACCCTCCGTCGGTGTATTAGTGTCATTCGCAATGACTTGCTTTGGGAGTGAAGGATGCTACAATTCTTTGAGGTCTCAGTCCACTACGTCTGATGACTGTGGCCCCATGACTGTATCTGAAAAGCACCATCTTGGCACATCAAGACAAAATGCTACAATTAGACAAGAACCGACTAGGAAAACCGCACTACTGACTATACAAGGATCCCTTAAAGTTGGAATGACTTCAAAAGGGACCACAACACGGGCTTCCCTTTCCTAACTGCCTCCTTGTGAACTCGCAGATCTCCCCAGAGTTGTTCTTTCCTGCCAACATTTACAAGAATGTGACAGGATGCAGCGTTCAGATGCAGATCAGGTTTGGGCAGTAGTTTAAGACTGAATTAAAGTTTATATCTGGCTTCAGATTTAGGTGCACACAGATCACAGAAGCTGTTCTCATGAGTTTTTAGTCACAAGTGACAATATTTAGATCCCATCAAAATGAAAGCCCTAAAAAAGCACCACCTTTCTGGGTTTGACTCTGTTGCAAAACCAAACTGTAGAGGCAGGGAATTATAATCCTGAAACACTGAGCATCCCCAAATCAAAATGGTGTGAAATGCTATGAAATGCCGAATGGTCCATGTCTAACAGCGGCATAAAACTTACCACCGTTTCAAAGCTCATTAAAGCTTGAGGGAAGTCTTTCCAATGATTTCAATTAGCAGAGGAGCAAACTAGCTATGTAAAAGGAAAGCTGAAACAAGTTGCATTACTTAAAGCTATACAGGTAGGGCCCCCTTTCCCATCTGTGTAAATATCTTATTCAAACATTTTCAGTTACAAGTGGAGGACACATCTCATTGCCATCCACCTGTTCAGCTGGGCCCACATCACAGCCTAAAATTCAATCTCTTTCTTTGCATATTATTTGTTTCTTTCTCTGCTGCTTGTTCATGATCTAGGCTCCTCCCAATATTTAGAATACACCATTCACAACTGATCACTTTCACAACTACAGACCTTGAATTCACAATTTAAATCGCATTCTAAAATTTAAACAACTCAAAGTTGCATATTTGCTGATTAAGATGATCACCTGCCAAGAAGAAACAGTCTACCTAACCAGATCTAATGCCACCTGAATCCTCCTTTATCTACTCATTTATGGGCCTCAGGTTCCCTCCCAACAGCCTTATACATTTGCTTAGATATTAAAGCCAAAAGGACCTTGACAGACATTTAAGTCCCACCTCCTACAAAACACAGCCTGCAGGATTTCACCAGTCTTCCTAAATGCCACGGGAGAAGGCTACCAATTTGGGTAAAAAGAGGAGTACAAAACCACCTACAGGAAAATGCTTCTCACCACAAGGGCTTAGAAATTCAGGTCATTTACTTGTATAGGAACATACAACTTGGAGACAAATAAAAAACATAAAAACAAACAAACAAAAAATCAATACCGCTCATTATGAGCACTAACTTCCCCTGCTTATCTCGGTGGCTACTGAACAACCACCGTGGTCTCCGATAGAGAAAATGTTCAACATCAGATCTATGCAAGCAAAAGAGCCTCCTGAATCCCGCTCCTCTGCTTTCATTCATCCGTGCTCCGTTACCAAGGTTGAGACAAAAAAAGAAGAGTGATTTGGTTCGACAAGCAGAGCGAATTCACCCTCCGCGGAGCGCTCCTATGATCTCGCTTCCTTTCATAAACTGCAGGGTCATTTGTTTCGCTGCATTTTCAAAGGGTCCAAAGTTTTCCTCCCGACACCAGCTCCAGGTCACCTCCTTCCCCCCCCGGCGCCGAAGCTGGCTGCACAGCAGTGGACTGGAGAGACAAGCCGACCCCCACAAAACCAAACACTTCGCCACCGCCGGTTCGTTTCAGGGAACAGCACGACCTCCGTCCCGCGTACAAGCGCCTGCTTCCATCGGCATGGACGCCCTTCCCCTCGGACTGGCTCTCGCCACCCCGAGGGAACGGCTTTCCCATGCCACCGACGCCAGGGCCCCGCCGCAGCTTGTGGCACAACATTGTGCATCCATTTGTGTTGCCCGTGGGCACGCGCCGTATCGCTGTCCGCCCGTGGGCGCGAAACAGCCTTGCCCACGCTCAGGGCATCTCACCTGCTCAGCGCCTGACACGCCCACACCACGGTGCCCCCCCAGCGCGTCCCACCTGCTCCCAGGCCCCAGGGCGGCCCCGCCCCGCTCACCTCGTCGCCCTGGCCGAAGCGCAGCCCCAGCGCCACGAAGCGCTCCACGCGCA